GTTTTATTTTATTTTTTTTTAAGGAAATGAGATTTAAAAAAAAAAAAGTAGAGGCAAATCCAATTCCTAACTCCTCACAGGCACCTTTTTTCCTGCTCCAAGGAACAGAGGAAAGTGGAATTTCTTCCACCTTTTCAAGGAGTTTTCACACTTTCCAGGAGTGTGGGGTCCCCAAAGCCCAATTAGCTCAGGCTTTCCCTGTAATTTGGATGCACAGTTTTAACTCTCATCTTCCTCCATCCTGGTAACCACTCTGTTCCTGGGGCTCTGAAGCCAGAGATGTCTGCCCCTGCTTCCTGATAACTCTGTCTCTAGACTTTTGTCCCACTCAGGGCACACTGGTCAGTTCTTAAACTCTTCAACCTGGCTTGGGGGTATTCAGGGAGCACCCACACTGAACACACCGATGAAACCCAAACATAGTACCAGCTCCCTTCTGAATGTGAGAATAACCCAGCCTCCAGGCAATCAGCATGCTCTCCACCACCCCTAGCCTCTCCTAGGTCTGAGCTGTCTTTTTCCATCCCTCCCAGGCAGACAGTGCTCGGTCCTCGGTGCTCTTGGAAACAATGGCGCTCCCTCTGGGTTGGCTCCTTAGGTCCCAGCATGTGGGGAAGCATGCCCTGCAACCCAGCACTGAACAAAGTGGTTGGAAGCATCATCAATAAAATGGCAGCGCATCTGTACATTTCCTCCATCGATTTTCCTCTTGCATCTGCTCAGGCTGCCCAGGTCAGCCCTAACCCTCCATCCCCACCGGCAAACACTACTGATCTAGGAAATATTTCCCTTCTTCTCTACCCGTCCCCCACGCCTTCCATGAGGTCTTGCCCTCCAGCTCTGTGCTCCGCCACCTCGGCCTGCGCCCGGCACTTCAAAACCCTCCCTCTGCTTGGGGCTGAGCTCCTGGGACTCCAGCCTGGCAGTGGACAAAGCCACCCCCATACTAGAGACTATTGGGCCCACCTAGTAGCTCCCAAGTACTCCTTTCTTTATAACCCTCAATTTTCCAGGGAATTAAACTCAGAGTCTGAGGTACTACTGGGAATCTTTCAAACGGTTTCGTTTCCAAAAGAGAAACAAAGGAAGAGAAAGGCTGAGGGTCCTGTCCATAAGCCAGGGTCTCCTCGCCTGACCTTTGTCTCTCACGGCTATAACTCACTCTAGATATGAACAATCAACGGAAATACCTTAAAATAAATTCCATCCTCTCGGTGTAGCCTCCAGTCCCATCAGCTAGCTCTCCTAGAACCGCTCCATGAGCACTGAAAACTGCAACCCGCTGGAAGAGCACTCTCCGGAGAAGGGGAAGGAGAAGGAGAAGGAGGAGGTGGGTACGTGGGGGTGGGGGAAAAGCTCTCTCTGTGTAGAGAATCTAGAAAACGTAATCACAGGCAAAGCCTGCCTGGGTCTTCGCTCCAAATGCCACAATAATGTGCTGTATTATGTGCTCACGTGGTCATACGTCAACTTAAATCCTTTTATTTGAAATAGGGAATCACTGAAGGAACTAGGTTTCCAAGCCGAACATTTAGCTTTAGGGGAAGAGAAAAGGGGGACCTTGACCAGTAGTCAGTAAGTATACTAAGTAGTAGGATGCTGGGGGCCACCCCCACTACATACACACAGACATGCCACACAAGGAGCTTATCTCCACTTATATTTCTTAAAACACACTCCAAACATGAGGGAACAGCAATGCTATCCATATTCTGAGAGTCCACTTAACTTTCCTTATGACCTTCCTACCACCGTAGACAAACTGAATTCAGCACTCCCAAGTCCCCTGTCTCCTCTGGCACACAGGCCAGAATATGGAAAGGCAAGAGAGAAGCCTGAAAACAACTGGCCTATCATGACCAGTGGAGTTTGTAACACCCACAAAATATACTATATCTACTGGAGACATGAAAAAAGGCCTATGATTACCTGACAAAATGTTAAAACTTCTTCTCCAAGTCCAGCCAATTCTGTTCAATGGGCGCCTACTAGCAAAGATATGCTTGGCTTTAAAGCAGTGAGTCAAAGTTTTGAAAAATCTGGAGGACATATGCCCTGGCCAAATCTGCACTTATACATTTACTCAGTGTATAGCTGAGTGTTACATAAAATTGTTAGAAGAAAAATGTAAGGGGAAATGATCTATATGCCTCTACAAGAGGGGTGGGGGGAAAGTACCAACCTTCACTGGGGTCCTTTGTGCTAACCTATAAGATAACTTGTGACCCTCTCTGCAGGAGGGTCTGTCTACCCTCCCCTAAGACAACTCTATATCTATCAGCAGAAGCTGAACTGAACCAATTCTGTTCTGGAAGAATCTGGTTAAAATAAATAAGCTGCACCCCAGGCTTTACCCCAACTTGTGCCTTTTGCTTGGTGACACTGCCCATTCATTTCAATACTTCAACCCTTCACAAGTTTCCCTTTTCTGGTCTTAGTTTCTGAACTTTGAGTGCTCTAAGGCCAGTGAGCTCCTCAAGCTATATTCTTTTGTTCCTTAAGAGTGTGTCTTAAGCTGGTTATCTCTAAGTCTTAGAAATCAATTGTAGCAGCTGCAGAATGCTCCCTTTCCTTCCTTCCTTGAAAGGGAACAGGAGTCTGATGAGAATATAACGCCCTAATAAGGGGGCCTGGTCATGGGGGTGTCCAAATCAGGCAGGCAATAAAAGACCTAAGCCCTTAGAAGCAAGCCCTGGACAAAGCTGGTGGCAGTATTGCCATAAGGTTCTGTTTGTGGTATAGCTGGAAGAGGACCTCTATGTGACCTTTACCACATCTGACCTAAATCAGAAGCTGAAAAGTCAGAACCCAAAGTGAAAACTTGCCTCTCTCAGATTTGGGAGATGGGGAACAGGATCATGGTTGGTTTCCAAAATGAATTCTCCTGTCCCCCAAGGACTTAGTCCATTCATTCTTGTGCCTCTTGCACCTTATGAACCTCTATTCATTCACATCGAACACTCTACCCTAGTAAGAACTTGGAAGTATTGCCCACTTGCTGACAACTTCCCCCACCACAGTTTCTATAGAAGTATCTACCCACAGATGGAAAGGGGCCCCCTTTAGAACTCTCAGGAGAGTTTTGGACAAATTGAAACTTTTGAGGTCATAAATCAACGGCAGAAGGCACTGGTACTGCTTCAGAGAAATACCTTAATGCCAGCAGGGCCCAGAAGCATCTCAGCTCAATCCTAGAGCCTGTATGCAGTTACCATCCCAGTTAATAATCGAACTGCTGTTTAAAAATTAACATGAAGCACTTGAGATGCAGTGATTTGGTAGGATGAGAAGGGAAAAGGAAARCCAAAAGAACTTAACTTTTGAGGTAAAAATGACACCCCCCACCCCTAGAAGAGAGATTTTGAGCTGGGCAATTCACAGAAGACCCAACAGCTGAGAGTCTTCCTTCACACTCTGAATTCTGTTTTCCTGGAGCCAAGCTATAAGCCTTTTAAAACCTCAGCTACCAATCTCGCTCCACTCACCCCACTAGCCTCCAACTTGACCAGGCTGTGATCCAGGCCACCAGCCAAAATAGGAAGAAAGTTGGCTTGAAAGGAGCAGGCAACCAAGGATACAGACCCTTAGTCAATATTTGCAAGGCTGTTAGCAGATTAGCTATATCTATACTCAAATACTGCAATCTGATAACTCTATCAAAACTACACTCAACATTTTTGTTGACTCTATTGGTTTTGCCACTCAGCATCAGGTCTCAGCCCACTGAGTGTGTGTGTGTATGTGTATGTGTAGATGATAGATTATTATTTAACATGAGATATTCCCTGTGGTTGCAACTGCAGTATAAATGGGCTCCAAATTCTCTGGATATGTGTATCATGTTATACACATGGCCCCAAACTCTTGCAGCTATTATACCTGCAATTGTTCTGTTGTTTGCAGAAATGCAAATCATGTATACACACTGAGTTGCAAGTTCCTAAACTGTTCCATCTATATTTGATATGAACAGATATACAGTTGCTGAGAAAATATTACTATTATTCTGTTTACTTCCTATCTGATAAAATAATAATTTTATCTAGAGCACCATACTACCACTGAATAGCATGTTGCAATTAATTAACAAGTTGATATCTATCTGGGGAGCAAATTTTAGGGAGCACTTAGACCTAAGGAATAGAAAACAAAATTTCAAAAACTCTTTTAAAATAAGTAATTCCTGAAACAATAAAGCAAATTCATTTGTTCATACCAAGCTTCTGAAAGCTATTCCAGCAGCCCCTCCCCCAAACAGGCATATAATTTATGGATCTTTTACAAGGTAATAAACCACAGTAATTACCTCCCTGCATCCCAAACTAAGAGAACAAATTAAGTCAGAACTTGAAAAGAATTTTAAAGAGTTTTTCCTTGTTCCAAATAGGAAAAGAAAATGTTAGGATTAGAAAGCAGTAGTTTTTCCTGTAGGAAGAACCGTGGGTCAGCCCTGATGAAAAGCTGAAGGAGATCCCTTGGCTCCAAAGGCCTACACATTCAAACACAGCGACTTCTCTCACTGGATAGGAAAAAGAATCAGTGAAACTGCAAGGCACTGAGACAAGTTTCCTCAACCCCGAGAGCTGGTATTTCCAAACTCACAGCCCCAGTGCAGCTGCCTCGGAAGAAAAGGGGAGCAGCCCACGCAGCCGCCGCTGCGCCCATGGCCTCTACTTGCTTTTACCTTGCAGTTCCTTGTGTGTTTACAGGAAGACACAAACACCCCCTCTGGCTCCCTCCACCCCATCTTTGGCTTCTGCAACCGCTCATCTCCTTCAGCTTATCTGCTGGCTTTAGGGCAGACTCTTTGTCTGCTTCAAGTCCCGCATTGTCGGGGCGTGCAGCTAAAGGGAAGCCTGCTCCCAAACTCCTCCAAAGTTAAATATTGACCAGAATCTCTTTCAACCAGCTGTAGTTGCCAGGAGCTGGGGAAGGACAAACTCCTCCCAAATGCCTGGTGCAAAGTCCTGCTCTGGGAAGAGTTTTGGCAGAACGCTTACCTCCAAAGATGTTTAAATCTGAACCAGGAATTGTCTCCAACTCCAGGCGCTCAGGGAATCTCCTTTTCCGGTGTCCAGGCGGTCTGTGGACAAATAAACAGCAGAGGGTGAACGGTCGCTGCGAAGAAAGGGAGTCGGATGATCGGAGTTGGAAATGCGGCCTGCGCGGGCGCCAGGGTGGCCCCGGGGGTGACGCCGACACGGAGGAGTCGCCAGGGCACTCGTCCATGCGACGCGTTCATAGCTCGAAATGTTCCAGTCTACAAATGGCCCGAAGATGGTGATTTATTTCTGTAAAATAAATACATACTCCATCTCCACATCCACACTCTCTCCTTTTTCTTTCTTTTTTTGGGAGAGGAGGGAGAAGAAAATGGACAGAGAAGGAAGATAGGTGAAGAGGCTTTGCTGGTCGCATTGGTTCCTCTGGGAGAGCTCCTCGGGCACCCCAACTTGGGGAATGTGAATGCACGCTTTATTTTCTTTTGCTAACAAAGGGAAGCCTTGTCTGGAAGCATTCAATCACAGACTCTCCAGAAACCTCACTAATAGCGTTCATTTCTGTTGGCGCGAAATCAGACCCCAGCTCAGTCCACAAACCAGAGACAGTCTTGGGAGGTTTTGTCCTCAGGTTCATTCAAGTACTAGACCAGCCACTTCTTGGTTCTGGTGGGCTGGCAGGACTACCCAAGCACCCACTTCTCAGAGCCAGTCAAATACTTCTGCTGGAAATGGGCAAAGCCAGGGCTCTGGGCAATATTAATATTTCAATATTAGATCAGGGGGCCTACTCCTGCCCTGCCCTGCCCTGCCCTGCCCTGCACAACAGCCACAAGCTGGCTCAACTCTGTAGTACTGCTTCAACCTCATTGGTAACAATATTTGCAACTCTCTTACACTTTTACCAGCAATCATGGGTTGTAGAGACTTCAGCCAACTTTCTGGGGTGAGAGTTGCTGGGGAAGGAGCAGAGAATCATCCCAGAGCTCTGGGCTCTGGCTGCGAGAAGTTCTACCCTCTACTTGGACTCTCCGCAGGGCATTTGCTTCTACAGCCCTAACCCTGAACCCATTCCTCTTTAATCCAGACCTAGATAACTTCCCACATTGCAGCTTGGTTCAAATTCGTCCTCTACTGTCTCCTACATCCATGTAATCCTGCTGAGAGCACTGAGAGGGACTACCAAATAGCTGACAAGCCTCCTGACCCCTGGCTTCACAGCCCACTAGCATGCTGAACAAGTAGCAGCAAACTGGCAGCTGCCTTCTGCCACTACTAGACTCACAGCCTTTACTCTTAGTCTGGTACTTGGGACTCAGAAACCATGCTGGGCCCCTTTCTCTTGTTCAAACTCTCACTGTTGCCTTCATTGGGACTGCCCTTGTCCTTAGGGCTCCTATGTGACCCTGGGCAGGGTGGAGTTCAGCCATCTTGCACTTTGCCACTCAACTTCACCCCAGAAAGAGACACGCTATGCCACCAAGACTTACCACCACCACCCTGCTCCAGGCTTAAGAGTATTGCAATTATTATTATTATTGCTATTTCCTTATCCCCAAGTCTGATATTCATGGCTATTGTTCCCCATAAATCTTTTAGACTAATAAATCACAGAAAGATGTTGCCTAGGTCTCTTGCTCTACAATGGCTGCCACCACTGCTGTGGCCCCTCTCTACGTTTTTGGCGTTGGCTTGCTCCCTAGCTTGCCCAGTGCGGGTGATTTATGAACGCCGGGAAAATTGAACAAAGCCGCTCGCCCATCCTGTGGTATCTCTGCAGCCTTCCCCAGCGTGAATCAGAACATTACCAACTGTCTGCGCATCCGTCCCACTTCATCACCAAAGCCAGGATGTGACCGCAAAAAGCACAAGCCCGAACTCACGTTTCACCAGATGCAGTGTGCTCCCTGGACCCGAAGAAACCCTGAAGAAAAGAAAAGCCCCAGGACCCAGCAAGGGCCTGCCAGCTCTGGTTCTCCACGCTGAAGGGTTCTTTCCTGCCTTCCTGAAGGAGTTAAAAACCTTTGGAGATAAATTTGAGAGTTATATATTTAAAAATCAAATAGGAAGTTGGAGTCTCACTTCTGAGAGATTCATTCCTAGTGAGGCCCTGACGACTCCGATCCATTCCTGATGATCTGCATTAATTATTTAATGAGTCACGTGATCTCAAAGATTACAATTTCAATATCTCCCTGGAACAGGCGCTACACCTTTATCAGCTGCAGCCAGGATCCTTGTTTGGCTTTTTTGCTCCCCAGGCTTCAGGAGTGCATTCACCCTTGCCCTGATCCAGCAAGTGACTGCCGAGGAAGTAACAAGAGAGAAAATGAAATTGGTTATTCTGCATTGTAGACAGTGGGGAACCCACTGCTCTCTCTGGCACCCTGACATCCATCACATCCTGAATCCAGCAGTCAACCACCTGTCTGATCACCAAGAGTAGGGCAGTTTGGTTACATAATATACCAGGGCAGCTTTGATAGTGCATCAGGCAAGAACTTACCTTCTTCCAGGCTATACACACCTGTGGCCTTGCACATCAAGTATAAGCCTAAATGTATACCTTCCATTCCTGGAAGAATAACCTCAGCAGAGGGGAAAATGCCTGTACTTACTCTCATCTTCCGTGAGAGCAAAGGCTCTACTCAATCTACCCACTCATTTACACAAGGAACATCAGGATGGGAGATTATTCAGCTGCCTCAGTTTCCTCATTTGTGTAAATTGAAAAGATTGATCAAAAAATGGTCTCCAGGTCTCTTTCAATTTGGGATCTCTTTCATCTTCAAAAATCAATCCTAGAGAGAAAGGGGCTGCTTCATAAGTCTGGAACTTTCAGAAGAAGGATGCCAAGAGTTCCAAGCCAGAAGCTGCAGACTAGATTTCCTGACAGCCCCAGCCATCTCCCTGATGCTACCAAGGAGATAAACCACACATCTTCTCCTCCTTCTGTTGTTTCCAGCCCATACTCTTTGAGGTACAAAGCAATTTTTCTCCAGTGTGTAATATAGAGAAGGGTTGCCAGAAGCAGCACTTGGAAAAGGTTGAACCTATGTTCTTCAACATAGGAGTGTGCCTAGGTATGTAGAGACCAAGCCTGGCTGAGGGTAGCCTATTTTGTACACAGAACCTATGCATTTGAATGGGGAGCTTCAGATTTCTATTGCATTTGTTCTTTGGGATTTTTCTTTCCTTCCATTTTAAAGAGTCCCTGATCTTTTTCTGTGTTGGAACTGTTAGAAAATAGCCATCAGTGACAAGAACAACAGATTTGGAAGCTCAGGGGAACAGGTGGATGCAGGAGAGATGATGATACCCACCCTATGGGGAGAAGGGTGAGAAGTGGGGGRAAAGGGGCACCTTGGGACAGGTGGATATAAAGGCAGAGACACTGCGGTAGGCCTGTCCCCATATATCTAGGTAATCTTCCCAAGAGCTCCATCCTGGGTATTAAGTACTCTACTATGCCTGTCACAGTTGAATTCCTGCTGTAATAAAACACCGGGTATATCGTAGATTTCAGCAAAATCAGGGAAGAAAGCCTGCAAAGTGCCATTTTTCTTCAAGGGGGAGAGTGTTAAGTACTTAATTCAAACTGTGACCATTAAAGTGTCTCCTATCCTATTTAGGTTGATTTCAGATGTTGACAAAACTTTTATCTCCAAAGTCATGCACAACTTGGCTCTGTGACTAAAGCAGATGAGTGTGTATTGAAGGGAGGGAGGGAGGAAAAGGGAGGGAACAGGAGAGCATGTGTAAGGGTCATTTTGTTAGGAGAATTATAGAGCTTACACAAAATACTGTCTTTAAAGGTCAAGGGTTTGAGGGGCTAGCATGGTTTGCCTTTAAAAAAGACAATTAATGAGATAGAAAATTTGTCCTCTCAGTGAACTCTTATGGTTGCCCTAGCAAAGGGCAGACAATGCAGGATTTTGAAACACAAAGTGAGATTTTTCCAAGCTGTTATAACAAGCTTCTTTTAAGGCCAAACCTGAAGCAGACAAAACAGTGCAAAGAAATGGTATAATCATTTGGATTACTTCCGATGATTCTGGWTTTATAAAACCTCTCCAATACCTTAATAATCAATACATTTTGGGCAAAAGTGTCACTTTGTCCTGGAATACCAGAAAAATTATCTCAGTCCTCTCTTCCTTTTCTGGATATAAAAGCAAATGAAAGAAAAACATCCATTTTACCTCTATATCCAACATGGAGCTAAATTACCCAAACCCTTCCTCCCCACAAAGGAAATATAAGTATTTACCTTAAATGATGATAATCTGCCATTTGAGGTTTTGCAGCTTGACACTCAATTTCCACCAAGAGTTTAGGCTTTTTTTTTTTTTTTTTTTTTTTTGAGCAGACAACCAAGATGCTGTGTCTTTGCCTGAGACCACATTATTTGCAAGAAGATCCCTCTCTCCTTCACAGACTTTTCCCAGAGAATGCCTTTCAGAACTGCTGTTGAATTACAAAGAAGTATTTATTGTATGAGGTGATTAATGATTCCTGGGAAAATTGCTATTTTCAGCGTGATTTAATTTCGTTTTACAAGTACGTGTAGTAGGGGGAGGGTTAATAAGTTTCAGCAGCAGTTGCACTGCTTCCAGAAAAGCCTGGCACCCGTTCACACCTTATAAAATGCACTTTATGCTAGTTTTTTTTTTTTTTTTCTGACATGGTGTATTTGTTTGCCCCTGAATTTTTCTTGACCCCTCAGAGACTGGTGCCTATCATTTCTCTCTCTCAAATCTGGTTTGTTTGTAGGTTAAGAACAGATCACCCCTGCTTATATCACACACAAGGCGGCAGGGGTGAAAGGGGTACCAGCACCAATACTGTACCCTGCTGATGGAAATTTGGGTTTAAGAGTCCTCAGATGTTGTACAGGTAGGTGAACACCCACTCCCATCTCTGTTACATTACTTGGTGACCTAAAAACTTCACTTTTTCAAGGACAGATGACAGTTTTACTCTTCTTGCATCAGTATGCATCATCATCATTTCTGTATCTTTCTATAGGGTACTCTCTGCCTTGAGTGCAACCTGGACTCAGTATACAAATACTAGAGTTATAGAGATCAAGAAGTGAGTTTTAATTTTCAACCTTTTGGATCTAGTTCTAGGAATTGAGAAGAAAGATCCCAAAGCATTTGAGGAAAGTGACCCTCGTTTCACAATTTGGCTTTATTCCAGCAGTGAACTCTTCCAGGTCTACTTTGCTTGAGGTACATTTTGGGGTGTCATTATGCTTTTATTTCCTCAGAAGATGTTTTGGAGGATGTACTAGGGAAAATCTCTTTTATTTTGAAAGCTCTTCTTAAATAAAAGAGAAACAAGCGAACAAAAATACCCAAGCTATACTTGGTGATGAGGTTCTTACAACCAGCCTAGAAATGAAAAGCAATCTCAACCCTTTGCACAAACTATTTTTTTTTATCTCCAGGGAAACAGGCAGATTAAACGGGAAGGTGCAACAAATACCAAAGGGACCACTTYTTTCCAAGTGTGCTCAGAGTTCAGTGTGTAGAACAGCTGCAGAAACTCCTGGGCCCCCGCTGCACTGCATGGTTTCACCTTTCATTGCAGGGAAGGACACGTTTCTATGCCTTACAGAGACTTGAAACCTGAAATCCTGGCCAAGTTTGGGAAGAAGAGGAGCCCTCTCAGAGCTCAAGAGCCTTCCTGCTCTTTGGAACATTTCCACAGCGGGTCAAGCCCGACAAGAGTTCAACTCAAGTTGAAAACACACACACACACACACACACACACACACACAAATTATGTGATCAGTCAGAATCTGTGTTACACAGCTCAAGCCATCTACAAGGTTTTTACATGCAAGGGCAAACACTTCAATCCAGAAGTTTTTTTTTTAATTATTATTTTTAATGAAAAGTTTAGGAAACACACACATCTGTCTTTTAGTTTTTAATGTTTTTTAAAACAAAGTTTATTCTTGGCACATGGCTTTCTATACAGCCATATCACAATTTGTACAGTTGCACATGGATCTAAATGCTTTCCCCTCTCCCTGGAGATTGTGCCCCTGAATAAGACAGTATCTCTTTAACAATATCTTAAATAAATGCAAGGAAGGGAAACTAATGGGCACACCTACCATCACACCTACACATTTTGAGAATTAAATAATCGTGTGAGGCCCACAATGTCCACTCATTTATTCAGTTCAATACACAGTTTGTATGAGCTGCCCTAATGGAGAAGGAGGAGGTAAAGAGGGTGGGAAAAGGTCTGTTTTCCTCTTGCAACAAATATACAAGTACATTGTCTCCAGTCAGTATGTTATGTCCAGCTGACTTTAGACATCTTAAATATAGGAGATGCCAAGTAGTTCTTCTCAGGTATACAAACCCAGGCCAGCAGGTTGTGCCACCAAGCAGCAACCTGGACAAGTCTCTCTTGGGTGGCAAGCAGCACACACTCTTCCTGGGAGTAATGTCTTCTTTTTTTGGTTATCCTTTTCACCAAGTTGGGCTTTGTTTTGGTGTCTGTTATGAACCAGATGGGGAGAGAGGGATGGAGAAATGGGCAGGAGCAGAGAGAAGAAAAACAGGTAAGGGACGGACAAGAAACTGACTAGGTCTCTAGAACATTATATGGAAGAGGGAATGGGTGTGGAGGAACCAGGAAGAGAGTGAGGATGAGGGTGTGGGCTCTGAGTTTGTGCTTTTCCTGGCGGGCCAGCAGAGGTCGAGGCCGGGTTGGAGGTTCGCATCTTGGTGTTGGGCAGTTTGTGATCTTTCTTCCACTTCATTCTCCGGTTCTGAAACCAGATCTTGACCTGGCGTTCGGACAAGCAGAGAGTGTGGGCGATCTCGATGCGGCGCCGCCGGGTCAGGTAGCGGTTAAAATGGAACTCCTTCTCCAGCTCCAAGACCTGCTGCCGGGTGTAGGCTGTTCGAGAGCGTTTGGGCTCCCCTCCATTATAACTGGGATTGACTGAATGCCCAGAACCCCGAAGAAGAAGGCCAAGGAGGAGGAAGTGGAAGAGCGGGAAAGGAGGAGGAGAGAGAAGATAGGGTGGGGAAGAGCAATTGGACATCATCATTATATAATAACCTGACATCAAGTTCACGCAAGATACATAAAACGGCAAAGAAAATGTTTCACAGGCTATTGACAACGGGAAACACCCGAGAGCCATAAAGAATGGTGCTGGGCATTGGGGCTGAAGAAAAGCTTCAAAGACACATGGCCCGAAGCCTCTGCCAGGGCAATTAAATTTATGGGRGCTATAATTACTGCCCTAACAGTTTGTCGTCTCGTAAATCTCCCGATAAAGGGACCCTGGGTACAAAAGGGTTCTCACGTTTGGATCAGGCTGCAGCCTGGCGCGCACACACCCATATCCCCCAGCAGCCGGGGCCAGATGGGGGCTCCCCTCCTGAGGCCCCCTTCCCCGGGCCTTTCGCTCCTGACCCCCGTCCCCACCCTCCAACCCTGGTCTGGCCCCAGCCCACCCTTCCGCCCCTCCCCAGCGGCGCCACGTACCGGCGCTGACATGGATCTTCTTCATCCAGGGGTACACCACGGGCTCCTTGCCCTTCAGGCCCGGCGGGCTCTTGTCCGCCAAGAGCAGCGGGCACGCGGGGGCGCTGCCCCCTGTCGGGACGCCTGGAGTGGCGGGGGCTGCCTCGCAGCGCCGCGGGGGCGCAGGGGGCGCAGCGCGGTGTTGCGGGGGAGGTGGTGGCGGGGGCTGCCGCCCAGGTTGCAAAACTTGGCTCGCATGCAGGCCGTGCGCCGGGCCCTTGGCGTGTGCCATGGGCTGCTCCGGCTGAGGTGGCCGCCCGGGGCTAGCGCCGCCGCGGTAGCCATAGGGGTAGGCGGCGTCCGCGGCACCGTGAGTGGGGTAGAGTGCGGCCGCGGGGTAGGCGGGCTCACGGGCGGCCCGCGGCGCGTAGTAGGAGGCAGGGGGTTCACGGCTGCCACCCGCGTGAGGGAGCTGGGGCTGCTGCTGCGGCAGGTGCTGGGTCGCGGGCGCCGGGGGCTGCTGGTAGCCGGGGCCCCCGCCTGGGCCGCCGTCTCCGCCGCCCGGGCCGCTGTGCTGCGCGTACTCCTCGAAGGGAGGGAACTTGGGCTCGATGTAGTTGGAGTTTATCAAAAACGAGCTCATGGTCATTAATTTGTGAAGTGCAAAAATACTAATTTTTCTCGCGTTGTCGTTTTTCTGGGCTCGCTGAGGCCCCTCCCCCTCTTGCCTCGCTTCCCATCCCCCCCTTCCTCTGCGCCCTTCCCCTCCCCCCGCTGTCAAGTGCCCACCCCACCCCCTCCCGCCGACGCCACCACCAAAGTTCGCGCCGCTCCTCCCCCCGCGCGCGCGCCTTCCGCCTCGGCCCCGCGCGCGCTCCGCCCCGCGCCCCACGTGCAACTCCCCCACCAATGGGCGCGCCGCGCGCGCGGACCCGGATCAGGAAACGCGCGGGTGGGTGATGGATGCCACTGTCCGGCCCAGGGAGGGGGAGTGAGCAGGGGCTTCAGTCCTCCAGCCCCCCAATTTGGATTACCGCAGGGAATTCAGGGCCTGTCAGGCTGTAGCTCCCCTGGGCCCCGCGAACGCCCTACTTCTAGCCTAGGCCCCAGGGCAGACTCAGCGCTGATTTCCAGCCCAGTCAGGCCCCGCGTCCTCCAAGGTTCGAGGCCCGCTGCGGGAGGGAAAAGGCGTCGACACCAAGGGGCATCCTGTTTTTTATCATGGCACTGGAATAAAACGAACGTGGCCGACCGACAAATTTTCCCACCCGCTTATTCCTTTCCTACACCCTGCTGACTCGTCCCTATTTTGAGAAGACTGGCAGGAGCTGCAAAGATTGGGTGTGTAGCTGAGAAATCTACACAGGGGTGTACAGCGAAGCCATTCCAGTGTGATCAGACAGACATTTCTTATTTGTTTCCTTTTAAGACAGTCTGTTTTGTTTTTACCTTATTAAAAACAAAACAAAACCCACCTTTCTAATAGCATCTTATTTGATGGAGGGGTCGACCTAAGAACTAAACATGCCTGAGTTGACGAAGTGCGATTGTGCAGTCAGACGACGGCTCAAGGATAAGAATGGATAGAAGCAACACTTCCATAAAACCGAGCTTTTAAATAAATAACTTCCTATTTCAGAACAATCCCCAAATAAAAGCAAGCTTAAAATAGAATAAGACCTTTGCCAGATCTGATCCCCAGGGGTCTTTTCCAGCTAAGAATTTTGTTTTCTCTTTTGGTTGCTGCTTTTTCAGGCTGTAGCTGAGACTAGAGTTATATTTACAGAACAATCTATAATTTCTGAATTGCTGAAAATTAGCATATTAACGATATCAGTAGCTCCGGAAAGGAGGGAAAGGGACTGTTGCCTGCCATTTGGTAATTGAAATTTGATGGGTAAACTAATTATGCCATTATTAACAAATAAATTACTTATTAATTCCACCTAATGTTGATCTTTGAAGTA